GGGCGCGGAGCGGCACATCCCGGGGCGCCAGGGGATAGGTCTCCGGGGCGGCTTCCCGGATTGGGGGACGGCGGCACCATGGGCTTCCTACTGGGAATCCCCCAAAGGCGGTTGCGGTCCCGTAAAGAGTCTGCGAAGAGCAAAGGAGGAATTGGGGCACCCGGACCGCCCCCACCAGAGACATGTAAACCGGGCGCAGAGAATCTGGAGGAGGCAGCGCTGAAAGTTTGAGATGGGCACCCCTCGCCCTCCTCGTTCTGGCCCCTACATTTCTCTCCCAGCCCGTAATCGCTCCTCCTCGGGGTTACGAGCGCGTGAGGATGTTTTTGGCACCGTAAACGTGTGTATGTGTGTATGTATGTGTGTATGTGTAGCTGTATGTACACACGCCTGCGGAAACCCGCCCCAGCCCCAGGGCCTATTCGGCCGCGAGGTGACTGCCACTTAGAGATGCTATTTCCCTGCTCAGGTGCAGAACTGCTCCTGGTCGCGGTCCGGGCCCTTGTGCTGACCGCACAGAACCTGCCCCAGAGAAATAGGCCTGCGACGCCCACAGAGCTCGGCGGCCACACTGCGCATGCGCCGGTGACCCGGGATCTGGTCGGAGAGCAATTAGCATCGGCCCCCAGCTGCGGGGGTGCGCCCAGCTTGGGACCCCCGGTGGAAGTTGGAACACGCCTCCAGAAGCTGCGCACTGGCATTTCTTAAATCCTGGGGGGGAGGAGGGGGGAGTCTTAAAGCTGCCCCTTTTACTCCCGCTGCCCTTCAAAACCAAAAATAGTGTTTAAATTATTTATGGCAAGAAATCGCCACGTTGAACTCTTGCTGTTCTGTGTGCATGTGGTCCTCCGCCTTTTACATTTTAAGGTGAGGTCTTTTAAAAGATGAAAAGAAAAGTAAAATAGGAAACTCTGCTAGTTGGATTTCAGATGTTTTATGATTACATGACTGCAGTTCCCATTTTTTTGTTACAAAACATGAATTTTATAAGCAGGTCAAATGTTATTTTTAAAAGTGTCTGATCTGTGGGCAGGGACTGCCTCCTCCACGGGCCTGTGACGAGGTAGCAACCTGAGTGCCCCCGTGTTCAAGTGCCAGTCACCCGAGGATTTCCTCCCCCACCCTACCCCCACCTTCCCCATCCATTTCCGCTTGTGCTCAGTCCAGACTGCGCCCGTGACATGGTGTTTTCTAAACTAGAATTCTGGCCAACGCATCACCCTAAACTCTACATCTCATCTTCAGAAACAAAATCCAACACATCTGAATCACCATGTAACACAAGATCCTGCATAAAGAGGAATTAAACTGGAAAAGAAGCTTCATAAAACAAGAAACAGTTGCCCTAGCCGGTTTGGCTCAGTGGATTGAGTGTCCATCGGCGACTTAAGGGGAGTAGGTTCAATTCTGGTCAAGGGCATGTACCTCAGTTGCTGGCTGGATCCCCAATCCCGGTTGGTGCCTGCAGGAGGCAAACAATCGCTGTGTGTCTCTCACATCAATGTTTCTCTCTCTACCTCTCCCCCTCCCTTCCACTCGCTCTAAAAAAATATATATCCTCAGGTGAGGATCAACAAAAAGAAAAGAAATAGTTAACTAAACATATCAATTCTGTTTCGGGTCGCCTCAGAACACCCGTGGGTGCTATAGGATTTTTTTTTTTAGTTTTATTCATTTCAAACAGGCCGGATCCGGCCCGCGGGCCATAGTTTGCCCACGGCTGCCTAGCCGGTTTGGCTCAGTGGATTGAGTGTCCATCGGCGACTTAAGGGGAGTAGGTTCAATTCTGGTCAAGGGCATGTACCTCAGTTGCTGGCTGGATCCCCAATCCCGGTTGGTGCCTGCAGGAGGCAAACAATCGCTGTGTGTCTCTCACATCAATGTTTCTCTCTCTACCTCTCCCCCTCCCTTCCACTCGCTCTAAAAAAATATATATCCTCAGGTGAGGATCAACAAAAAGAAAAGAAATAGTTAACTAAACATATCAATTCTGTTTCGGGTCGCCTCAGAACACCCGTGGGTTCTGTAGGGCATTTCCAACCCCAAATAATATTCACTATCCCAGGAGGCAGCCTTAGGTTGGAGTCCAAGCTCTGCTGGTTTCTGGCAACATGGCCTTGGGAAAATCATCTAAGTCCTCTAACCTTCAGCTCCCAACGTATGGAAAATGGAAAATAATAGTTACCTCATAGTGTAGCCAGCATTGAATGATACAATGTCTTACTATTCAGAATGCAGTCTGTGGCCCAGCCTTTTTGCCCAGGAGCTCCAGGGCCCTGCCCAGAGCAAATGAATCAGAACCTACCTTTTAACAAGACCCCCAGGTGACAGAGATTTGCATTAAAGTCCGAGGAGCACCTATGTAACGCGTAACATGTGGGGTGCCTACCGCTTAGTAAGCGCTCCATTCACATTAGCCCATCGCTTTCAGTTCCCGAAAAGGCAGCAATGTCCAAATAAATGCTATTGAATGTCTTACAACTCATCTATATTATAACACATAAGACAACTTCAAAACATAACACTAGTCCAATACAGTAAACCAGCAAGAGGAGGGGAGGGCAAGAGGAAGATGCTGTATGGAAGGCCCAAAGAGAAGGGAGAGCAGGGCTCTTCAAGTAAACAGGAGGGAGGTGGCCAGAGGGGGCTACTGTGGAGCCCATTCAAGTGTCAGAAACCAGGGCGCCAGCAAAAATGGCAGTGAGCTTTGTGGAGCTGCCAGCCACAGCCTTTTTCTTTTAAAATAGGGGGGGACTGCCCTAGCCCGTTTGGCTCAGTGAATAGAGCATCAGCCTGTGAACCAAAGGATCCCAGGTTCGATTCTGGTCAAGGACACATACCTTGCTTGCAGGCTCCTCCCCGGCCCGGGCCCTGGTTGGGGCACGTGTAGGGGACAAGCAATCCATGTGTTCCTCTCACATAGATGTTTCTCTCTGGCTTTCCTTCTCTCATCCACTCTCTCTAAAAGATCAACAGAAAAATATCCTCAAAATTGACCCCGGGACCCTTTGGTCTGCAGGCTGACACTCTATCCACTGAGCCAAACTGGCTAGGGCAATAAAAATATATTTTTAAAAAAGAACTCCAAAATGTTGAAAATCCTGACTCATCTGCATAATTCACAGTGAACTCCCACCCACCCCTCCCAGGATCATCACGAATCTCCCAAGAGGAAGATGCTGTATGGAAGGCCCAAAGAGAAGGAAGAGCAGGGCTCTTCAAGTAAACAGGAGCGAGGTGGCCAGAGGGGGCTCCTGTGGAGCCCATTCAAGTGTCAGAAATCAGGGTGCCAGCAAAAATGGCAGTGAGCTTTGTGGAACCCTGGTCAGGGCACGTGTAGGGGACAAGCAATCCATGTGTTCCTCTCACATAGATGTTTCTCTCTGGCTTTCCCTCTCTCATCCACTCTCTCTAAAAGACCAACAGAAAAATATCCTCAAAATTGAACCCGGGACCCTTTGGTCTGCAGGCTGACACTCTATCCATTGAGCCAAACTGGCTAGGGCAATAAAAATATATTTTTTTATAAAAGAACTCCAAAATGTTGACAATCCTGACTCATCTGTGTAATTCACAGTGAACCCCCACCCACCCCTCCCAGGATCGGCACTAATCTCCCAAGCTACCCTGCTCCTGCTAAGTGGTCCAGCTTCCTCACAACACCATGGGTGAGGGGCTGCCACCGCCGCTGGGAAGACAGGTGATCAATACTAGCCCGGGCTGCTGGCCCCCAGCCTATCTCCAAGCTGGGGAATCGAGTTACTTGAATCAAAGTGAATGAGGTTTCCCTGCGGCTAGCTATCAGTGCCTTTCATTTTGATCCGTCTCTTATATGCAAGTGCCTGGGAAGATGTGGCAGCCGGCTGAAATTTCTCTTCATGGCTGCTTGCTGTGATCTGCATGTGAATGGCGGGTCACCGTGCCCCTTCCGCGCCCCCCCCCATCCCCGCACCACTCCGGTGAGGCCACCAGTTTCATGTTCAGTAACAGTGAAGAGGAGACAGATGCTGCTGACCCAAAGCCAGTGGTCCCCGGCCCTAGAATGAGGATGATTGGAAAGGTCCTTGCTCCAGGGCCCCATCCGGTTTGGACATATTAGGGCAGACACCTGCCTAATTGTTGTTTTTCTCATGCTCATCACTTGTCTCACATTCAGGGATGGAAACTTAAACTGTTCTTTCATAACGTCCTGAGTATCTATGAAGGTGGCAATAGTTTCATTATAGATTAAAAAGCATTTCTCAACTCTAAAGAGCCAGAGCTAGCATCGGTGAAGAAAAGACTCTATGTCTTTTAAAAATCTAATTATTTTTTAAGTCAGCGGGGACGACCCCTTTCCACGTCTCTGCATTAAGGACATAGATAATATTTTGCTGTTTGGGAAAACTGATCCAATGAAAATCTGGGTTTAAAGATACTGTCTTTTTTCAAACACCATATGATTTCACTTAAATGTGGAATCGAAAGAACAAAATAAATGAACAAACAGAAATGAAGCAGACTCATAGACAGAGAGCAGAGTGGTGGCTGCCAGAAGGGAGAAGGGTTGGGGAACTGGGCGGAAAAGGTGAAGGCATTGAGAAGGACAGATTAGCAGTTACAAAATAGTCCCAGGGATGTAGTCAACAATCTATATAATAAACGCCTAAGCAACCGTTAAGGCGGAACGACCCAGAACAACCGGTCGCTATGATGCTCACTGACACCAGTGGCAAACGCTCAACACAGGAGCTGCCCCCTGGTGGTTAGTGCGCTCCCACAGGGGGAGAGGCCACTCAGCCAGAAGCCAGGCTCATGGCTGGAGAGTGCAGCGTGGGAGCCTCTCCTGCCTCCACAGCAGCACTAAGGAGCGGCAAGCCTAGCAGTAAGGAGCAAGCAGGCAGGTGGTAAGGGGCAAGGGATCCCGGATCCCCTGGGGATCGGGCCTAAGCCAGCAGGTGGACATCCCCCGAGGGGTCCCAGACTGCAAGAGGGCGCAGGCCGGGCTGAGGGACACCCCTCTCCCAGTGCATGAATTT